CACCTGCCCACACACCCACAAACACAGCCAGAGCAGCACGCTTTTGTGACACTGCAGAAAGGCAAAATCCACTTGTTGCATCTGTTTAACAGTGGTCAGAGGGCAAACACGCACGACTTGTTTTGTCTAAGGCTGCATCTAAAACCTGAAGGCTATGGATGAAGACACACGTGCACACACACACACAAAAAGTTGTAAGAGAAATCATACCATCTGAAAATTGAAATAGAAATAAGTAATAATTTAATAAATATAGAGTGCTCCTCCTACTCTTTCATTTTACAAAAATAAAAACCACATGAATCAAAATAACTGTTACTTTCTTTAGAGAGATAACCAGAGAGAACTACACGCAAATTAAAGATGCAACTATTCACAAAATTAATTGCCCCAGAAGGACTGCACACAAACAAGGATGAACTAAACTATCTGTAACTACCCCCAAGAATACACAGCCCTGCCACGCGTTATGTGAGAACGCAGTGAGGCTCTCCAGGTACCCCGACCTGCAGGTGAGCCAAGGCATCCGCTACCTGGGCACGCCAGGAAACACATCCACGGGCTGGACGAACGCATCCAGCCCCCGCACGCTAAAGGGAACACGCTGCAAGTGAAAAGCCCCGCACACCCCCCCCATCCTCTCGCCCGGGGCTGTGGGTGCCGCGGGCAGTGAACAATCGCCGGGAGGGCCCGGCCGCACCTGGAGCGGCCGCGGGCCGGCCCAGGGCACAAAGGGGCGGCTCGGCTGCCCCTGGCCCGGCCCGGCCCGGCCCGGCCGCCGCGGGGGCACCGCCCGGGGGTCGCGGCCCGCCTGAGGGGCACGGGCAGGGCCCGGTGCTCGGCCCGGGCACGGCCGGGCGGCGATGGCGCAGCTCCCCTCGCACAGCCCCCCTCACGGAGCTCTCCCCTGGCGCGGGGCCGCGGGATCCCCTGAGCGGCGGGGAGGGCGCGGAGCGGGGCTCTCCTTTCCTCTTCTCTCCTCTCTTCCCTCCCCGCTCCGCTCCGCCTGCTCCTCCCCCGCCAGCCGCGGCTCCATCTTGCCCTCCCGCCGCCTCCCCACGGCGCGGAGCAGGGTCCGGGGCGCGCGGGCCGGGCCCGCACCTACCTGCGGGTGCTCGGGGCGGCGGCGGGGCGGGCGGGAGCGCGGCCGCCTCCCCACACCGCGCCGGGCGCTGCAGGGAGGGGCGGCGGGCCGGGCGCGGCGCTGCGGCGGCGGGCGCGGGCGGCGGCGCGGGCGGGGCGCGCTCCCGGGCGGGGCCGCGCCGCGGAGGCGCGCGCGGGGCGGGGCCGGCGCGGCCCCTCCCGCCGCCCGGCGCTGAGGGCCGCGCGCCCGCCGCCATTTTGTGGGGCGGGCGGGAGGAGGCGAGGCCGGAGGGGCTCGTCCTGTGTGCTTTAAACGCTGTAAATAACTAAGCACGGGAAACGGGGGTGCGGTATTCCCTGTGCTTCCATTGCTGTCGTTTGGATAGAGGAGCGCGGTGTCTCCCGTTCCAAAAGTGCGCACAGAGCCAATCAGAGCCAATCTAATCGATCGGATTCAGTGTAAGCAATCAATCTAATCAATCTGAGATCACCGAGTCCAACCTATGACCCAACACCACCACATCAACTAGACCATGGCACAGAGTGCCACGTCCAGTCTTTCCTCAGACACCTGGGTCAGCGATTCCACCACACACAGTCCATTATGGAATCAGCTTTAGGACTATTAGATTATTGTATCAGGTCAGTTCTCTTTCCTTGCTGCACCCATTCCCAACACAGCTCACACAGGCTTGGGTCTGTGCAGGGACACGAAATATTTCTTATTTTCCTTATTAAACGTTTTGCTCTGTTTCCCCCATGATCTGAAGAGTTCAGTATTGCAACAGCACTTCCCTATAAACCAGCCTTCATACCTTCAGGCGGGAACAGCAGCTCCAACTGTTTCCAGAGAGATCCCATAGAAACAGGAATTTTAAGTGCCCAACGCGTAACCTTCTGTCCCCAAGGTCAAGTTTTCGTGAAACAATGTGAGAGCCCGCTTGGTGGAGGGCCATGACCAACACATTTTTTATCCTTACGCCTTCCTGCCCTCTGTTAGCACCCTTGGGCCATTGACAGACAGCAACAACACATCTGCAAACCACAGGGTCTAAATGAACAGATCAGTCCTTAAATGACCGATGTACGGGAGAGCCTGAAAGATGCTCTGTGTTATTCAGATGAGGTTTCAGGAAAAAAAAAAGGAAAAAAAAAAAAAGACCAGGAAAGAAAAAGAACCTGCAGCTTTTACAAATGGCTAATTCTTTTTTTCTAAGTATTTTCCTCTCCTGCTGTTGTCTGGGGAGCTGACTAACTGTATCCCAACACCGTGATGTTCCATCTCTACAGTACTTGGGAGTTATTCAGGCCGAAAATTGCTGTGAAACATCCTGCCAAGATGACGTTTCATATTTTTGCCAGCGCTTCCTAACGCATGCAGGAATCCTCACTTGCAATATAAGAAAGCAGCAGGGAAAAGCAGCATTTATTTAGCTTAATTTAGCAAATGATTCCGTTTATTTACAAAGTTCGTCTTTGCGCTGTTTAAACTCCTGTTGGAAATGCTGCTGCCAAGGAAGAACGGTTCAGTTTGATACCTTTTTGGTATCCTTGCTAACTCACGCAGACAGAGGAAATGTAGGTTTTAAGGAAAATCCTTAATCTTAACTTTCAGCGTAACATTTTCCTTGCTCGGCAGTTCATTTCAGAGCAGTTGCCCCGTGGTATTTATTGTTCCGAGAAACGTTTGTGATGATGAACTTTGTACTCAGAATGGCCAAAGTATAAAATAACTTAATCATATGCTCCCTCCATGGGAGGTGATTAATAATTTCGTAGCTCACTAGAACAACTTAGTTCTGAGATGTTAATTAATTTACCTCTGCTTATGTTGGTCAGCTTGACAATTTTGTATCTCTCAGTTTGACTAAAGAAAAATATTTAAATCTGTTTCAGATGAGAAGTCTCAGAGAAGCAATGTTTGGGTGGCAATCACTCAGGCTAATGGTCATTTATTTAAAAACAATTGTTTCCACTGTAGCTAAAACTACGAAAACAAATCTTCCTGCCTAGCACTGTATAAACATTGTACAAAATGTACATTTTGGGACAAATTTGAGTCCAGCTGTGCCCCTTTTATCTTCGCATTTTTAGGCTGCTCTCCGCCTCCACTCCTCCATACGGCACAGGGAGCTGGAAGCCAGGATTTATTCTGCAAACGCCCAAGCTCTAAGAACACAAACTTGTTTAAGCTGAGACCATATTTGGAAGAGATCTGGGTCAAGAAAAATAATCAAAGGAAAGTGCATTCCTGGGGCATCACGTGAGGAGGGAGAACGCGCTCAGGGCCCGGCGCTCACGGCCGGGGGAGCGGAGGGGCCGTGCACGACCCTCCTGGGAACCCACAGGCAAGGGCTGGTCTGACACCACCTCCACCCCGGGAACCACCTCCCCAGGGAATTCAGGTTCTCGTAAATGTGGGGTTCAAGGACCATCAGCAGTGTTATGTCCACGGCAGGAAGTTAAAAACTAACTCTGGCAAGCATCCATCCTTACAGACTCATGTACCTGTCTCGAGCCCTGTCAATGGTTTTGCTGAAGCAACCACCCTTCCTTACAGCTGTACACAAGCCTGAAGGACTGAAATACCAAAGTGCTCCCTCGACTCCAGCATTCTTTTTCTTATTTTAGGAAGATCTCAAATCCAGCCTTTGGTGTTTATTTTATATTTGGCTGTTACAATTGCAGAATTTCAGCAAAACTTTGCTTAAAAAAAAAATCTTTTAATTTTTCTGTCTTCCACTTGGAAGACTTGAGGAAGAAAAGCTCCTACAGATGGCACTTTGAGCCTCTGAGTCTTTTATTCAATTAGCAGCCAAATACACATTTAAATAGCTTGCAGTGGTTTAACTGTACAAGTAAACTCTCCGACAGCCAGCACAGGGAAAAGCTGCAGAACATGCCCGGCTTGTGCTCTATGCTCATTACATGCTCGTTACAGCTTTCACAGCATCAAACCTAACAGCAAAGTAGGCCTTGAGCTGCCTGTTTAATGAAACAGAGGGTGGCAACAACGTACCAGATAGTTCAGGGAGTATAAAATTCTCAATTGCCATTGCACGCACTTTTTATCTTGCTGTGGATTTTTTCCCCCATGCAAAACACTGGATTTAGTCTCTCCTGTTTTCCTGGCTAGGGAATGAACCCTTCACAGTGTGGTGGGGATTACTGCTGTGTGCATCCCTGGTGGGCCACTTGCAGGGAGGATGGAGGAGCCAGCCGGGCTGCGATCAGGGGCTCGCTCTCACTCCTGCTGCCCCACATTGTTGTGACACAACCAGGAGCTCACCCAGGATCCAGCACCAAACACCTGCATCACCTATCCACCCAAAACACCACTATTTACTCACACACTGAAAGCATAAAGCACCCTTGAAAGCTGGCAGTGGGTCACCTGGGGCAGGTGACAGAACAAGCTCTGCTTATTATGTGTATTTGAAAAGTAAAAAACCAACAAATACGGCATCCCTGCATCTTCTGAACAACTGGCAACAGGAATCCAACCAGGGCAGATTCCCTGGAGAGCTGCCAAACTGGGATGTTTACAAAGATCTTGTCTATATCCATGGACACACTTGGGAAGAACTAAATATAGTGTTTTCCACCACTTCATTGTATCTCCTCCAAACTTCTATTCTAAGCTTGTTTCCACTATTTTTTCCCCTGTGTGTTTGTTAATTTGAGAGTTTCTTTTCCTCTGGTTTATATGCATTTTGCTCCTGCTTTCTATGTATCCAAAGACCTTCACTGTGACTTTCTTAACTGAGTGTGAGCTTTGTCCCCTTTCCAGCAGAAAAACAAAAGCACAAACTGCTGTTCACATCACCCTACTCCAAACAGTCTGAGTTTAACTGTCAGAGGAAAAAACACACAAGCAGTGCAAGTGCAGAAAACAGAGGAGCTATTCAGAAAGACAGTTTCTGAAAAATATACATTGAAATTATTTTTTTTATTTTTGCTGGAATTTAAAAAACATAAGAATATTGACATTGCATTTAAAACCCCCAGGAAGTTAAAGATTATACATTGTTGCATCTCTGAAAACCAACAAAAATGTCTCCACCATGCCTTTTTTAGGAGATACCACTATATGTGGGAACATTTTGAAACAAGATTTTTTAAAGACATGTCAGGTCTGTCCAAACTTGCACGTGCTATTCATTAAATACACCAAAATCTGTCCCTCTTCTGGCAAGGGACACTGTCTAAAAGTCAGACAATTCCAAGAACAAGTGGTATGAAACACATCAAACCCCAGTTCTTAAGGGAAGGAAACCTGATGTATTTAAAGGGCATCACAGGGCTTTAGTCCGAGCTTTCTCTTTCGAGTTTTGAGAAGTGTCACTGTGTGTGCTGCTCCTCCTGCCCTACTCCATGTATTAATAGTGGCAAGCACTGCATTAGGGGTGCTCTCATCCTAAATGCAGACTGCAAAGCTGGTGCAATCATTCCTTTCCTTTCCTACATTGCAAATAAGGGGCAGGGTATGCAGGCAGAAAGAGTCCCTCGAATTACCTGCAGTTTGGAAAGAGGAGTTGTGAATTTACCCAGATTGTGTGATTTGTCTCCGCCGGGGTTAAAGCAGTATATACACAGCTGGTTTAAAATGACACATTTCTCCTCCATGTGTCAGTTCAGAAAAGCTTTCTACACAAGTCCTTTCCAAAGTCATCATCTTGAAAGTCTTGCAGCTGCTAGAATGAGACAGTTCAAATTGCTACTGCTTCTGCTCCAGACAAGCACTGTCCGTCAGGAATACTAATGCTTATGGGGAGGAGACCTCCCAGAGCAAGGTCTTGCCTGGCCCAGCAGCTTTTGGACTGCAACGAGGGTGAATAGCTGTGGAATTCATTCATAAATACCATTATTCATTTTTACTTAAAGCCACGACCTAACAGCAATAAAGATGAAAGGATGACAATCCCGGGGGAATGATCACGTTAAGAGGATATATAAGAACACTATAAAAGAGCGACAAAGTTGTATTTCATTAAAAAAGGAGGTTTCTCTCTTTTTCCTGCAAATTCCTTTTTAAACTAAATCAGGCTTTCATTCTTATGTCACAGAAGGTGGGGGAAAAAAAATCAAATCCTAAAATTCTCATGTTTAGAAAAAAACCAGGGAAACTACTGTCATACTACAAAACATTTCACTTTACAAAAAACCCAGAGAGTTATTTTATTATGTATGAGAAAGACAAAATGGGACATGAGAGGGATAAGAAGATCTTAAAACAAGACCTCAAGGATTTCTGCATAAGGTTCTTTACTCTGATCATTGCAAGACTCTCTGACCTTAGGGGGACATTTGTCCAGGGAAGTGATGTGTGTGGAACCAGCCAGAGAGATCTGTGGACCAGGAGAGAAATCCTGCCTTTATTTTGGTGTTTTATCATTTTTCCAGTATAAATTGATATGGTGTGACCCATCCCAACAAAATGAAGCAGGTACATTCTAACAATTCCCAATGCAAATCCCAACATGGTTTAATTTACTTAACAGTATACTGCCTGTCATAAAAATTAAAATCTGTTTATTTCATGTTCCTTCTGATGAAAAGTATATATAAAATGCACTTTTAAATTAAATCACATTCTGCCCAAACTGGTCTGCTTTAAGACTGATAACTTCAGTGGAGAGAATTAAAATGCTTCAGGCAAGGATCAATTTTCTGTTAAAAAACGTCCGCAGGACAAAATAAAAAAAAAAAAAAAAAGAAATTCTTAATTTACAATAAGCAATGTAAACAGCAGAAAAAACAGAAGCCACAAAGTTTCACGCACCAGCTGCTGACAGACAGAGAACTCCAAACACTCATAGAACTTTGTATCTTCCTTTGTTGGTTGGTTGGTAAGAATTTTGCTGCAAATAAAGGAGAGGATAATCACAGTTAAAAGTGAAAATGGATAAATGAATTGCAATAAACCACCACTAGATTAGCAGCTGGGTATGCTGCAAAGCCACAGCAAAACAGATCTCTCAACATATATAAAATATTAAACTGTGGGGAATAATTCTCCTCTCCCCTGCCTGAAGGTGCTGAAATTAGGAAATGTCTTGGGACCCAACTCTTTGAGGGGTCCTCATTCAAGAAGTTCTGTCAATGTGTTATCTCCATCTGCTGGCTGGATAACAGCCGTGTTCTGGCTGAGTAAACAGAGCCACAGATTTTTAGGTTGTTCAGTGAAACGGGGTTTTTAAGATCTGTAGGTACCAGTCCCTGATACTCATAAAAACACATGCCAGAGTGCCAACATCTGCAGAAGTCAATCCCAAAAAGCACAAATTAAGGCACTTTCCCACTGCATTCTGGATATTTGACTCACCAATCTGATGAGCTCCTCTTTTATAAGTCGTGTGATTTCTGCCTTTGCTTTCTGTACAGCCAGTTCATTGGCACCTGCAGACAAAAACCATGAATTATCATCTGAAACACTCTCTGTACGTGAGGCCTGCACTGCTGGTTCTTCTCAGCAGCACAGCAGAACTTGCTGAACCTCCTCAGCTGAAGAGCACCCTAGCACTGCACTCTGGCCTGCCACGGCTCCACTGTGTTCTGCTTTAAGGCAGATACTTAAACCATCCATAAATTGTACTTTCCAGAATTATGCAGGATTAGATGTTTCTTTGAGAAAAATTCTACTCAACCACCATGACATTTGCAAAGTTTTTGTTGTAGTAGTTGATGCAATTTCTTATGCCTTCAACAGCCTAAACCCACAGAATTCTATTTTCTTCCTTATTTCACAATGGCACTGATCTCTTTGTGCTTATTCCATTTTTTCTTTTTACTCTTCTTTTTCCCTCTCCTCCAAACTGATTCCATACACATTTGCTGTTGTTCTGTGGCAGGTGAGGAGAAGCATCTCTGTGATCCCCACAGATCATATGACAAAATGTAGGAAGATAAACAAGTGGGGTTTTTTTAGTAACTGCAAAATAAATACAGTGGTCTGTAACTCAGTAAGTACCCAAACACTGACTACAGACATTCCATGTCTAATTTCAAAATCAGACTCACAGCTTTAATGGCAACATTTCTAAAAAGGAATACATACTTTCTATAGCCAAATAAATCTTTCGTTCTCCTTCCTTGGGTTCTTTGCCTGGAGGGAAATAAGTCCCCCTGATTGTAATAGCAGCTTCAGAATATTCACTGATTCTCTGCAGTGCTTCTTTGGAGGTAACTTTCCATCTGGCAGTCTGCAAGGCAAGGATACAGGAGGATCAGCAAGGAGGAAGGCACCACACAAAATGGCAATCCCTTAGTTCTGCCCATCTGAGCAGAACCTCAAGCATAAATACAGGGAATTTGTGCTTGATAGTGTGAAACATAAACCCTCCAAGAAACAGATGAGGTAGATCAGAGCAGCAGTATTTGGAATGGCAAAAATACTCAAGTACTAAAAAAGAACAAAGAGCTGTATCAGTCATAGTTGTAGAGCCCTTACAAAAAACACCAGGCAGTGTTAGAGATTTGGAGACGAGAGAAGTCAGTGGAAGAGGGTGAAGAGACTTCTGTCTGATAAGGAGTGCTTGTTTTTCTGATACTCTCTGGAATAGGTCCAGAGCACTGTGTATATACAAGCTGAGAAGTAATCACAGATAATGTAGTAATTTCAATTGGGTATGATCACAAAAACAAAATGTTTTATTGGTGTAACCATATTTAAGCTACAAAGAGAGGTTTTGTTAAATAACGGTCATTTACACTTGATTACAGCAAAATGGTTACTTGCCTGTGGGAAGTCATTGATCTCCAATTCTTCTTCGTATCTCTTAAAGGATTCATTTTGTCCTCCATCCTGTTTCTCTTCCTCCTGCTTCTCTATGGGCACATAATTGAGCTTGGCATTGATTTTTTCAGCCAGTTGCTCTGCAATGGTCTTGGCAGACACAGTAGGAGCTTGAATTGTGCCTCCTCTCAGGATAGCATTTGTAGCCTGCTGCATCACATCCTGTAAAAACACAGGTCCATGTTGAGAACAAGGTAGCCAAGAAAATCCTATATAAACCAACAAGGGTTTCATTACAGATCTCTATGTAATATAACTGTCTACATAACAAATGCACTCTCCAGACTCCTCCTGTTCTTCTTTTCCTTCCTCTAAACAACTCCCCTCACACCTGCAGAGAAAAGATCTTACAGATCCTTTGTATCTTCAGCTTAAAATATCTCTGGACATTGCAGAAGACACTACCAAAGCTGACAAACCTAACTGTGGAATGTTATCAGCACTGAACTAACTCTTTGCCAGGGCAGACAAAGCATTTACAGCTCTGTATCAAGGTCTTATCACCATTATTAGCTCACTTACAAATCCTATGAGCGAGTTAGCCCAGCACAAATGAGATAAATAAGGCAGCATGTTACCAGTGTGCAGACACACTAAATAAAATGGCAGCCACAGAACAAAGAACTGAACAACCTTTATTAAAAAAAGAAAAAAATATTGGTCTGTAAAGAGCCTGACCTTGAAGTGGAAGGGGACCATTACTTGTGCCTCTGCTCCAAGATTCTTCTGGGCATTGATTCTCAAAGCCAATCGTTTAGCAATTTCCAATTTTTCTGCATTCCCAGCTGATGGTGTAGGAGCATTTGAAGTTCCTGGTGCTGCCATGTCTTTCACTCTTTTCTTTGAATTGAACATGCTTTCGATTTGTTCATCAATCTAAAGAAAACAGCAATTATTAGATCACTGCATTTACCACTGTATAATCTTACCATCCTAAGGAAAGAAAACATTAAGGGGCATTTAGTTTACATGCTTTCAAAGATATTATTCTTGTATAAATGGTAGAAGCCTGTCCAAAACTACAACTCAACAAAAGGATCTGATGATCTAATAATCAGGAAAGTCTGAACACAGGGTTTACTTGCAAGGTCACAAAAAGGAGTCCAACAGACATTAAGAAAGGAATCTAAGAAGATTCAGAAATAGAAAAGGCTACAATGAATGCCTTTAAAACACTGCACAGAAAAAAACCCCACATTTGCAATTGAGGATAATTGTTCCATTTCGCTCATGCAAGATTAACACCACAAATACAAATGTACTGAAAATCCTTAAGCAACTTAAATCCTATTTCCAGGTGCTTACATCAACAGCTGTATCTTCATCATCTGAATCTTGCAGGCCAAGAGCTGCTTTTTGTAGCTTCTTTCTTTCATTAGCCAAAGCTTGTTCTGTTTCATCAAATTTAAAGCCTTTGCCAGAGAATCCACTGCTTTTTTTGATCAGCTTTCCCTCCTGAAAACAAAACCAAGTATTTTCATACTCAGAAGGTTAAAATCCCCATTCTGATAGTCATAAGATTATACAAATAATTTTGAAGTAAATCTTAAGACATTCAAAAAGCTCTTCAAATTTAAAAGCTGCATTTTCCAGTGAAGTGTAACAAAAAACTATATTAATTCAGCAGACAGAGACAATACCCTCTTGGGATTTTCTGTAAATATACATTTTAAATGCTTTTCAAATGCAGTAAAAAAAACCCTCCAGTTTTTATATCAGAGAAACTCCAGATTTGCTCTTCTCAGCATGAGCAAGATCCTCTGATGGGGCAAGAGCTCTAGAAATAATCATAAAATTCTGTGAAAGAGCTTCATTATCTTGTTTGTGAATTCCATAGAAGCCAAAGTGCCCCTTATACCGTAGGCATTTCTCTATCACACGCCAGGTGACAAATTTAAATCCTCAGTCCTGTAAATGATACTCAAGATGCCAGTTTTGAAGACACTCACACACTTATCTAAGCACACACTGAAGCCAGGGAGATGACCCATGTTTGTACCCTGGTCAACTGGACCCATGTGCACAAAACACTCACTAAACCCAGCCCAAGGCCCACTGCAAACAAGGAATTACTCACAGCCTTCTGCTGGTCTTTGAAGTCAGCCCAGAGCTTCTCCAAATCAGGAGGAATTGGATTCCCGGACAATTCCAAAGCTTTAATGATGTCCCCAGCATAGCGTGCCTGATCCTCAGTAATGAATGTGTATGCATACCCCTGGTCAACAGGAATTTAAAAGACAAGTAAGAGAAAAGCTCTAAAGACACTTTATCTCTAAATTTATTGAAGCACCCTTGCACAGATGCTGTTGTTCTGGTCAGTGAAACTAACCATGAGAGTCAGTAATAACTTTTTTGAGTGGAAATGTAGAGTGAATAATGTGATTTCCCAGGGAGCCGATAACAGAGGTAAACACCCAAAGATGATAGATGCTGAAATCTTTCCTTCCAATCAATTTTGTCATGGCTAACAGTTTGAAAAATGAAAATCTTATCAATTTAGTAGGGCACATTTCCAACACCCAAAGTTTCAGCCACAAACGGGGTTTAAAAGAACACTCATACATCAGAACATGTAAGTTCCAACTTTCATAGTGTTAAAATTCAGAATGCAATTAAAGGAAAACACTCTTTCCACCAATAACTATCCTTTGGGAACAACTTGATCAAGCAATAAGGAAGGGAAAAATGTCAGTAGTAACCAAACCAGAGCACTGTTGCACCTACTTTATTGCCAGCCCGGCCAGTGCGGCCTGCTCGGTGCACATAATCCTCATAGTGGTTGGGGCAGCTGTAATTGACCACCAGCATCAACTGTTTCACATCCAAACCTCTCGCTGCCACAGATGTGGCCACCAGAAGTTTGCAGGTTCCATTCTTGAAATCATTGATGATGCTGTCCCTGTCATACTGATCAATACCTGCAAGAAACCAAGAACAATCAGCTGATTATAAAGCTCTGCTTTAAGCCAAAAGAATTTATACCCAGGTCAAAGCACCCTCCAACTGCAAACAACCAAAAGCATAAGCAAATACAATTTCAATACACTCACACTGTTACAGGCAAAATGCATAAGCCAGAATAGTAAATCTCTATTATCTAGAATAACAAAACTTTTCATTTTTCAACTGCCAAAAGGTGTTTTCCCCTTACCAGGACACTCAAAAGTAAAACAACAGCTGCTATTACTGTGAATCTCAAATACAAATTCCATGTAATGCTCCCCAATGGCATTCAGCAATATTCCCTGAGAGGTGCTAACTCTCAGTAATGGTCCTGTTGCACAGACACAAGATTTGGCATCTGATGGCATCTCACAGGGAGCAATGAATTGTAATTACAGAAAACTATCATGTCTATTTCAAATTAGGAGACAATTATCCTCCCCAATTACAAAGGAAAACATGATTAGGAAGAAATAGTAATTGGTATTACCCAGGACCTAAGTAATTGTTGACTACTCAATACCAACAGGCTAGTTTGGAGCAGCAAACATAAATCCTAAAGTTTGCAGATTACCTCCATGAAGAGACAAGCAAGGGTAAGAGGCTCTCATTAAATCTTTCAGCAAGCCATCAGCGTGTTCTTGTTTATCTACGAATATGATAACGGAGCCTTTCTCCTGATAGTGCCCCAGCAGCTCCAGTAACTTCAGAAACTTGTTCTCCTCCTCTATGACAATCTGGAAAAACAAATACAAAAGCAAAGTAGAAAGAGTATAAACTGTATCTGGAGTCATTAAACACATTCAGGGTGCATAATAATAAAAACTAGAACAGGAGATGACCTTTTCAGGCTGTTTCCACAGTTAGTGACAAAATGCTGTTTAGTGCTATATAAACCAAGCTCACAAAAAAAGTGACCGCACTGCATTTGCAGATTAGCGTGTTAACTCCTGAGTTCACGTTTAATGAGATCAGTAAACTGTAGAAAATGACAGCCCTGTGGGACATTGGTTTACATTCAATATTGCTGGGAAGGACCTTATGCAAACAAAGGAGAAGCCGAGCGAGGCGGGCGCGTGACACTCACAACGTGCTGCTCCACGTCGGAACACACAACGCTCCTGCCTCCAACCTGCACCTCGATGGGTTTGCTGAGGATCCTCCGAGCCAGGGCCTCCATAGCTCTGGGGAAAGTAGCAGAGAACATGACAGTCTGACGGTCAGGCCTGACGTTGTCTACAATGCGCATAACCTGTGTGAGGAGAACATTCCCAGTTAGCGTCCAAGAGCTGGGACCGAACTGCACACACACAGAGCTCTCAGCTTCAAGGTTAGGTGGTATCTGCACTGCACAGGCCACAAAACAGTCTTTACAGATTTCCTCTTGGGATCGAGCTGCTGGCAGTGGAAGACAGGCCAAACTTGCTGGATTCAAAAGGAAGTTGAGTGGCAATGCACAACCTGACAACAGCCAGTAGGAGTCTTAGGAAATGCAGCAGAAACCCTACAGCTCAAGAGAGAAATAAAGGAACATTCCCAGTTCTGGAGAACAGCACAGCCTGTGGCAACTGAATGACTCCAGGATGTCCAAAGCTCCCAGCAAGTGATTTATCACCAGCATTTCCAACATTTTGTTCCTGTCTCTTGCATAACATTGCCAAAAGACAACAAAACCTCTGTAAGTGCTCACACAACACCTGTATCAAGGGATTACACAGGGCTGTACAGGATGTAAAAAACCCTGTATATTAGAGGAAAATCTAAACTATACAAGAACTTACTGAAAGCAAAACACAGAATCCCAGAACAGTTTGGGTTGGAAAGGATCATCCTGTTCCAAGCCCTTGCCATGGGCAGGGACACCTTCCACGAGATGAAAGGATAATATGTGATGTTACAGTAATGGGATAACGGATGTGAGGACAACAGGAACATCAGAGTCAGTTCAAACTGCTGCCCATGTGCAGCACATCTTTTTGAACACCCACTGGCAGTGTAAGAAATAATGCAGCACTGCAAAAATCCTGGGAGTGGAAAACAGCATCTTGTGGCAACATCCCTCATGTCATGAGTTACCTGAGGCTCAAAGCCCATGTCAAACATTCTGTCTGCCTCATCAAGCACAACGTACGTGACTCTGCGGAGGTTTGTCACCCGACCTGTGAAAGGAGAGGAGAAAACACATGGGAAACAAAATCAAATGGACATTTAGTTTCCCTCAGGAATATTTTTTTTAAATGTTACATAGTCTCGCTATCTTCTAACACAGACATTAATTAATTTTTAAAAAAATTCACTAAACGTGAATTTTAGTGTTCACACTTCAATCACACATACATTCTGGGAAATGTGTAAGTGTGCACAAGGCCCTTTCATTTGGTCAAACTCTTCTCTTGCATACCATCATAGGGCCAGAAGAACCTGTAAAATTCAGAAAACTGCCCTCGCCAAAACACATCATAAAACTAAGACTGAGCTGAAGCAAGGAGCCACATCAGCCAGTATCTGACAGCGGCACCTAGAAAAGAACATATTAGAGATTACAGCGCATGTGTGGAAGGCAAAGCCCAGTGCTAACTGCTGCAGCCTCAGAAAACTCCTTTCTACACAATCTGCAACGCTTCCTTGGAGCTAGGAGTAACTATCTGAGGATAAGCATACTAGTTCTAGGTCACTGCTAATAATAAGCATAAAACAGAGTAAGCAGTTCTTTCAAAATGAATATATAAAGAGTAAAACCTACCCAGGAACACTACTGAATCTAAAAGCAAGAACCACCCCAAACTCTGGGACAGCTGGAAATACGATAAGGAAGTTGTGGATCTGTGAACATTTGGGAATTATGATGGACAGGATAATTAGCACCCTTCCCAAACAAACAGTTAAGAGATTCCCTTTGATGAGAAGGATTTAACTCAAGGATTTAAGAATCCTACTCTCAAATGATATAAATGCATTCAGCTCCACACAACAGTGGAGTGACACCATCAAATGCTCTCAGAATGGAACAGATTTGTCACATTTTCTACAACTGTCACTCAGACTTGTGCCTGTCAAACTGCAGTAGAATTTGGTCCTCTCAGCTTCAGCAAACTGTAGCTGAATCCTCCAATTATTTTAAGGCCATTTAGCGCTGCGTTTTTTTAGGATACGGAATTCATACTTAGGGAACAAAGTAAATACTTCTTAAAATCTACGTATCTATTTAACATCTTAACACTTTCATCCCCAAATAATAACTTGGTAAAATTACTTGGGAACAGCATTAATGTACCTACCTTTGACGATTTAAGTCTTGGAAGCCCAGTTCTATATGTCTTGAAGGTACTTTTTCCACAGAAGTTAAATAATGTCAACAGTTTAGTAGAGGTTTTGATGTGGAATAATTTAATAATAAAACTTTATCTAATAAGCATGCAATGGTTACACTAGGACAAAACCTCTTAAAGCTGCAGTGGCTCAGTTTAATAAATCTGAATATCTGATATAAGGTCAGCTCTCTTACTTTTGAGCAGGTATTCAGGGAGGGCTTCTCTGGTTTTTTAAAACCAACAGATAAAGGCAGAGTCAGATGCTCTTATGGACAAGTGGGAAACTGCTGAGCTACTCCAACACAGTAACAGATCAACGGGCACACAAAATAACCAACTGTTACATAACCTTTACCTAAGGGACTGGGAGTCAAAAAATTTGGACCAGCACATCTTAAGTTTAGCAATGATAAACATTCTCAGAAACTCCTCAAGAATGCAGTATTTCCTGTCCTCCCAGAAAGAGTCAAACCAATATATGCTTAAACCTATTATTAGTGCTAGATATTCTCAATAGCTAGACAGTGCAGCCTGAAGAGATATAAGGAAATTTCGTAAGACCATTTATCAAAATACATGATCTTTTGAATTTGTTAGAATTACACAACAAATACAAAAAATTCTCCATAGGAAAAGGTTTTCTACTCACCATTGTTAGCTGCTAACATGTCAATCATACGGCCAGGTGTGCAAACAATTATTTCAGCACCTCTTTTGAGTTCAGCTATCTGATTTTAAAACACAGTAAACATACTATTAATTTTTTGCTTTGTGATTTTTTCTTTTAACAAATTTTTAAACAGTCTGAAACTTTTAAGGATTGTATCTGAGAATTTCCAAAATCAGTATGTTTAAGGCTAAGTTACTTGAAAATGCTTAAGCTTTTGCATTACTACCACTGCCACAGAGAAAGCCCATTATGAAGGCTGCAAACATCCTGGATTTATGGGAGAGAGAAAGGAACTTAATTCACTGCAAAATTAACACCAATAAAGCCCAAGAACTCCTTGACAAGGAAGGTGTGTGTTTTGTGTACCTGTTCACTAATTCCTGTTCCTCCATAAACACAGACAACTCGAAGCCCAAGCGTCTTTGAGAACTTCTTGCACTCCTTGGTAATCTGCAAAGCCAGCTCACGGGTAGGTGTCATGATGACAGCTGAAAAGCAAAGCACCTTCATCATGCACTGGAATACAGGTGCTGTTGTAATTTACAGAGTAAAAAATCATCTTTTCTAATGATGTTTACAGCAATTTACTTCCTATTTTTAAGAGTGTAATTTCAAGAAACAGGTAATTGAGACAATAAGAGAATGGGGTGGAAATCTGGTCCAAAATCAGTGCCAAAATCAAAGTAAGGTCTCATAGAGATACATGGACATGGGAGTGATCCTGAAACAACATTAGACAGCATTAACTAAAAAAAATACACTAATTAATGGACAGTGGTAAGCACTTCCCCCTATAACCAAGAGAAGAACTGAAGACCATCTAAAGCATATGCTTGAGGTTGTACTCATTTCAACAGTGACTTTGAAAATAAGATCTTTGTACCTATGGGACCTTCTCCTTCTTCCAATGCTCTCTGATCCATAATGTGCCTGAACATGGGCAACAGGAAGGCGATGGTTTTTCCACTTCCCGTTTTAGCAATGCCAATCAAATCCCGTCCATTCATGATTGCTGGGATAGCCTGGGTCTGAATGGGAGTGGGCTTTTCATAGCCATGTCTTAAAGAAAGGGGAAAAAAAAAAAAGATATTTTAAGAGTAAAATAGGATTTGACAGATGTGAATCACCGAGTCATGCAAAATTTCTTTTGCATATTCGTATTTACACATACATATCCGATATATACATATCAGAGCTGCTCACAAAATACAGATTAAAATGAGCAGTAAAACCACGATGCAAATGGCAGAGGATAGTTAATAACAATAACTCAACACTGGGTGATACACTCTGATGACCATGTATGTAACATCTACAAACATGGACATGTGGCATTATGCAACAAAGAAAAGGGGTTTTCTCATGAACGTAGAGCACAGTGAGCAAAATCAAGCATAATATAGTTCATAAAGTGCTTGCTTACTTTTTGAGGGCAGTGAGAATCTTCATGGAAATACCACACTGTACCCAGGTTTTTATTGGTTTGGGGCAGCCTTTTCCCTTGACTGTAATTCCCTCCAACTCCAGCCTGTACACATTGACCTCTGAAATAGAGTTTGCATTACAACAGAGTCAAACTTGACACTTCTCTACTACCTTGATTAAAATATTCTTGCTTTGTCTCTTAACATGAAACACTAATTTTATCACCACCAGAAAATCAGTTTTTTGTTTGTTACATGTAAACACAGGAGGAAGGTGGTAAGGACTCAGGTAAATTTTCCTCCAACCAAAGCTTCATCAATGAGTTATCAACACTAATGATGCAACTGGTTCAACATTTTTCTATACCACGTTGCTTCAAATATTCTTTATATTCCAAACCCATCTGCTGTTCCTTTGAAATCCCCCATTCTTTCCTCTGACAGTACCCAAGGTGTGCTGGTTGTATTTGTCTTTACCTTCCTGAGTCATTTTCGCCAGTTCTGGCACTTCAACGTAGAAGTTCTTCCTGAAAGGTTCATATTCTATCTTTCCATGATCCACCGGCTCCAGCAGCTTTCTCTGCTTGGTCTGGTAGCCAGTCAGGGCAGTCTGAAGATCAACCTCCTCCTCCTCTGAGGAATACTGTGGAGATCACCATGTGTGTGTACATCAGTATGAAGGAACGGGTTTTCATTTACATGGATCTTATTCAGAAACAACAGGTTCTCCTCACTGTGCCCACACCCCTAACAACCCCTCAGGCCCACACACAACCCCAGGGAGTTAAGAAAAGCCACGTTGTGTTTCCACAGCAGAAATACAAGACATTTCCATTACCTCCATTGCATCTTGGTCATTCTCCATGAGCTCCCCTTTCTTCTTTTCTGACTCTGCAGCTGCCTTTTTGGTTGTCACCACGGTTACCACCTTGGTAACAGTTGGTCCAGACTTCTACAAAACCGTGAAGAAAATTACTGCATTTTACATAAAATAAAAAATATATTCTATAAAATATACAGAATGTTTGTACTTCTGAAGGCATTATGCTGAGCTTTTTTTTTTTCATCTCCTTCAGTGAAATTTTAGTAGAATAATGCTTGATAAAACAGCTTCATAAAAACACCAGGAAATTGAATTTAAGGCAAACAGGCTTTAGGTGCATCTAACTTCATGTTTTTTTGCATTTCCCCCCCCTTTTGCTATTAAAACACAAAGTTCTCTTTATCTTTTGAAAGTTAGAAATCTCAACTGGTGATTTTACCTTTTCACTCCCACCTCCACCTTTCACGCTTCTCATATTGAACTTCTTGACCTCTTCTTTTACTTCTTCCATGTAAGCATCCAAAGGATCTAACTCCTCATCTTCAACCTCATTGCCTTCTTTTTCTCCTTCTGCAGTTTCCTCTTCATCATCTGATGTGAGCAGATAATAGTTCAGTGCTATTGCTACATAATTTTTCCCTCATACAAATCCCTCCAGTTGCTCAATCAAAAATGGATCTTAAACCATCTGAAGCTGTGATCACATTTAGGCTTTGTTATTTTATAGTTTACATTCCGAAGACTAATTTAATGATTTAAGATATTGTAATAAAAATATTGTCAGAAACAAAAGTATTCTGTTATACATAAAAATTTAAATACCATCATCATCTTCTAAACTCCATTTTTTGCCCTGCTTCATCTCTTCAATTTCTTTTTTCAGCTCTCCTATGTTCTCCATTGCCTTCTTGCGTTGTTCTTCCCTCCATTTCTCCACTCTTTCCTTTCGCTTTCTCATTTCTTCTTCAAGTTTGTTCTGATCGAAATTCTATGATAAAAACCAACCAAACAGTGAAAATTAATGGCCACTGACTTTAGTCTGTGCTTCTTCAAACAAATACAACCATTGCATGAGCATGCTGTAGAACACTGGGCATCCACAAACTCCCTGGTTTCAATCCTTTATCTTTTAAACCTCTAAGTGTTAAAAGCCTCTCTACCTCAGTGGCCACAGCATTTGTAGTAGCATCTTTATCCTTCTCTTCTTCCTTGTCATCTTTGTCTTTTTTCTTTTCTTTGGAAACTTCTACTCCTTCTGTCTTTTCTTTAGATCTTGATCTGAAAGGTAAGATCAGAGGTTTCTTAGAAACTTGCAGCTTTTCTCAGGGGGAAGATACACATGTGCTGGACAGAAACACAGAAACATGAACAACCTGTACAGGTTTATGTTTCCAAACACCTCACAGAACACACTGCTTCCCAGATAATCTTCCCATGTCATGGAACTATTTCCTCTAACTACCAGAAATGTGGAATCCATTGCTGTTCATGTACTTTGGCACCGTTACCACCTATGGACTTCCCACTCATTTTAACACTGCTTGCAATTATGTCTACTCCACTAAGAGTGTCTACTCCATTAAGATACATTGAAAAGAACATAACCTGCAGTTTTCACACATTTCTAAACTCAGGAATACCTGTTCTCTGTTTTCCTGCTCTTGCTTGGACTGGAGGATCGAGACCGTCTCCCTCTACTCCTGCTCCTCGAGCGCCTCCTCTCCCGGCTCCGGGATCGCCTTCTCTCTCGGCTCCGTTCCCTTTCTCTGCTCCTTGAGCGTCTGACAAGGAACAAAATTGTATTTATTTACCCCATGATCACAGTGTAACTTTAGTCTGCTACTGAGGAACAGGTTGTAAAAGGAACCCACCAATCATCAAGACCACTAAGAACTTACAGACTCCAGCACCAGCAGCTAGAAAGGATGTAATAAGCAAAAAGCCTCGAGCACAGTGAAGTCTATACAACCCTCAGCAAAGTGAGTAATGAGAGGGAAGAACATCAACATCCAGCTGACTGGATGGCACTTTGATCTACTTCAACTGGAACTCACGTCCTACCTTTGGCGTTTTCTGTCCCGCGACCGGGACCTTCTCTTGTCCCTGCTGCGGGACCTCTCCCGCCTGCGATCCCGATCCCTGCTCCTGGAGCGCCTGTCATCCCGTTTGCCCCTTTTGTCCGACGGGGAACGACTCCTGGAGCGGCTCCCGGAGCGCCCACGGGACGCGGAGCGCTTCCGATAATGCCTGAGACACAAATTCACGGAGGTGAATGTCAGCACAAAAACCATTTGCACATAAAGGATACTGGTCATATTTAGGTGAACAAGCAAAAAAAAAACCAAAAAAACCCACAAGAAAACAAAACAACCAAAAAACCAAAACCAAAACAAACAAACAAACAAACAAACCCCAACAAACTTAATTTCTCAGGCTTTTAAAATTTCTGAACATTTGTAATGGTGTCCTGTCCCACCCACCACTGCCCCAGCTCGTTTGGAGCTCCGGGAGTGCCCAGTTCTGCACTGAATCACTAATTTGAGCCCAAGCTGGTTGGTAAAATTTCAGCTCATCTGCCTCTGTCGGTGTAAACCCGTTACGGGTCTGTGGGCTGTGACACGGCACTGACAACGCGTGTGGGGGCTGCCGTGGCAGCTCTAGGGTTAAAATCCGATGGTTTGGTCAAACCGGGAAACAGACAATGTGCCCCACATTGTTGCGGGCTCGGTGCGAAGCCCGAGCGGTGCGAGCAGCTCCGGACCAGCCGGAGCACACGGTCCCATCACTGCCCACAGCGCCAGCCGGGTGCTCGTACCGGCACAGCACCCGTGACCCCGCAGAAACTCCAGCGGCACACGGAAAACGCCTCACCCGCGTTCGAACCGCTACGTGGCGAACTGCGCCGCTTTACAGCAAGCCCGCCAAGGCCGCGGGGCGGCCTCGGGGCAGCTCCGGCCCTCGCAGCGCCGGCCCCGCGGCCCCTCAGCCCCGTCCCGGAGCGCCGCGGCCCCGGCGCTGCCCTCGGACCGGCGCCGGGCCCGGCCCCGCCGCGGCGCCCTCCGCACCCGCGCCGCCTTTGCCCCGCCGCGCCCCCGAGCCCGCGCCGCGCTCCCTGGGCCAGCCGCGCTGCGGGCGCGGGGCCCCGGCCCGCGATGGCGCCGCCCGCCCCCTCACCTGGACTCGCGGCCCATGGCGGCGGCGCTCCCGCTACACGGCGGCCGCCATCCCGCGCCGCCCGCGGGCAGCACCGCCCCTTCCGCCCGGCCCCACAGCGCCCCCGCGGCCGGAGGGCGCAGCTCATCAGTGTTAACAATAACATTATTAACATTATTAACATTATTGACATGAAACACTCGCTGCGCTCTGCGGGTCTTGGTAAACGGAGTTTTGGCAATTTATTTGTATCGCCTTTGGGGCATATATAAATAGGGAATAGGGGCGCGTGTGTAACTCCGGAGTAAAACTCGTTATTTACAGATCTCGGCCTTTTAATTTCAATTTGCTGAAATTCCTGTCTAATGCAAGCAAATTTAAAGCTTCTGAATCAGTACCATGCTAACAGACCCAACTCAGAATCTGCTGCAGCCCTGTACATCTGTAACGTAATACTCACTGAAACATAATGGTAACCCCCCCCTAAAATGGTCAAATCAAAATCTAAGATTCTTGTTTTCAGGCCACAAACAAACACAAATCTAATTCAGGAGTCAGAAATGAGGCATTAGAATTACAGCTTTAACAGAAAATAACGGATGGAGCACAGTGCATTTACTTTAGAGAGGCATAATCAAACACTTCTGCTCCTTAAAAAAATTTTTGCAAATACCAAGTTAAATAGGTGTCTTACTGTGCTAAAAAAGACACCAGCCTACATTTCCTGAAAGTCCAGACTCTAAACAGAAAACTACAAGATGAAAACACTACCCAATTTAGCTTCAATAGAGATTTTCAGAGATTATCACCATTTAAGTTGACTATTTGGAATGACACTGCCTTCCTCCCACTGTGCAAAAATTTGTAAGAGATTGAAAATGAAACAGTTTCCCTTGTAAGTTTTACAAACACTAGAGCAAAGATTTGATGTTGCAGGTTGGGTGCCAACATATACAACTCCCTCATGAGATGAACTGTTAACATCAAGAAAAGGCATCAGGAAGCACAGGGATGAGCTGCACTAGGATTAGGTGGCTGGAAACTCATAAACAGGTGAGATTATTTTGTGCCTTCTTACTTTTTGATTAATGACATTCGTAAGCACCAGGATTTTCTTGGTGTTGGTTTTGCTTAGCTCTTTCCCACAATAACCATCAAATGAAGTTAATCACAATCACAGCAAATAACATATAGCAAGGCAAGGAGCATAACAACAAAGTGGCAAGTTTCACCAACGTTCTCCAGAAGCAGCTACTTGGTTCAACATTCTGACCTGGAACACTTGAAGAGAGTACAGGGATTTCTTTTATTTAGAGCTTTCTTTTAAAAAAATGGGAACACCACAAAATGAGCAGGTCTCGTTAGATACAGTCATACAGCATATACACATAGATATGGTTCTGCTGGAGGGAACTCTCTTCTTGTTCTCACTGGAAAGAACAAAGGCAGCTTTGTAAATATTTATGTAGGAGGCTGAGAGGGGTATCATCTACCTAAAGCAAATAAATCATCCACTGACACTTGCACCCTAGTCTTCACATTTGTAATATGCAGACACAGCGTTTAAATAAACTGAACCAATACAACTGGCAGTCTGGGACCCTGCTCTTCCTTTCCCAAAATGACTGGATTTAAGGCTCCTTTCAAGCATTTGAACAGGTAGGAATTTTAATGAAGGTTTAGACCTGTCTGCACAGTCAGACATTAAAGGAACACAGTCCAGAAAGGTTTAGTGTAGCTGCTGTGTGGAACTGTACAGCCATCATGGTACTTCAGAGCCAAAAACCAAAGTAAGTTCATGGCAAAAGATAAAAGTAAAGAAATAGACACAGAGGTCTGTGAAAACATCTCCCATTTTGCTGTAGGTGTCCATGGAGCGACTGATCACTTCTGCAGGGATCCCAGACAGCAGGAGAGCAGCAGTCAGGACTGTCGTTTTCACCTTCTTCTCACACTAAAAGGGATAAAAACACAGTATCATGTTAGTCCTCCTAATCCAATTCTGCTTTACATGTCACCAATGTTGTGCCAATTCCACACGCTCCAAATTCACTGGTAAGAGCAGCAGGTTTGGATTGATTCTCTCCAGACACACTGGAGGATTCACAGCACTTATCCCAGACACAGATTCCCGCTGTGCTGGATCCCCCTGGAGCTGAGCGAGAGGCTGGAGAACAGCAGAGCAAATTGATCCCAGATATTCTACCTTGGCAAAAAATAGAACACAGAAAGCTTTGGGTTGGAAGGGACCTCAAAGCTCATCTCATTCCAGCCCCCCTGCCATGGGCAGGGACACCCTCCACTAGCCCAGGCTGCTCCAAGCCCCATCAATACTGTTATTTTTCTATCAGAAAAATTATTTAGAATTGAAAACCCAACTGTTTCTATTTTAGTACAACTTAATTTGGAAGTTTTATCCTCTGAACTCAGAAATGCCCCAAAACCTTTTGAAAGTTGTTCCGTCCTTAAGATGAGGAATCCCAAGAATGCAAAGTCTGACAGGCAGGAAAAGGTGACAGTGACTGAAAATTTATATTTGCTGGATATCTTAATTTAATCCAATCTAAATTAAGCTTTCAAGAGTATTTCTATGTTTCATGAGAGAAAAATGAAGGATAATAAACATATTGGCCTCATGCAGTAAAGTGCAGTCAAAGCATGTTGTGGAAAGGAAACCCCTCTTTAAATTCTGAAACTGAAGAGCTGATTTTAAATACAGCAGGAACAAGATCAAGAAGATGTAGGTGATGAGCTGGTGCAAATCTAAGGCTAATTTTACTGTTTTGTGTTGTGACACATCAGCTTAGAATGACTATTATGATATACTTAACTACAAAAGAACTGCTGATTTATCCTGATTTCCTACAGGTAATGTATTATTCCTTTTAAAATGTAAATTTTCCCTTTTAACTATGGACTGAACATCATTCAATCCCACTCTGCAGCACAAACCTGACAAAATCATCAACCTAACAAATACTTCAGCACAATTACCCGGTGTAAATATATAAATCAAGTGATAGAGCAAATCTAGCTAATGAGCAGCAAGTTTCACACACAAATAAATGTCTCATTTCAAGCTGCCATTCAACGTGATACCAGCAATGGAATGCAGAGCCCTTAAAACCCACGTTCTGCCTCATTCTTTAGCAAACACACTCCCAAATTTCATCCAGATATTACATGCAGAACAGCTGCTGACAAAGCAAACAGTAACCAGAGAAGAGAGTGGTCTAGGAGAAAAGCAAATTTCCTGAAGACATGAAAGAACTACCTGGATTTCCTGGTCAGATGCTTTTAATTAGGCTACAGCTAAACAAGCTGCTAGCCCATGTTTTCACAGAAACTTTAAAAAAAAAGATTTGGACTAAATCTGGAAAGATTAAAAATTAGTATAAACTGTCAGCATTGGTAATACAATTCTAGAGGTTAAAACAAGAGAACAATACTTCACATGTATTGGTCCTAAAACAATACAATCTAAACACAAGTTTAAATTTAAAACACTTCAAATTAATTCTGAAAAAACCCTCTTACCTTTGGAAAGTACTTGGACAGTCCCATGTAAGCGAGTTGTAGAGTAAGAAATGGTGCAAATATTGACTGAAGGAACAGAAAAGAATATACAAAAATTAACTTGGTCAGAAGTAATAGCTGAGAAACACAGAAATGTAATGCTTCCTAAGTCATAAAAGAAAATGAGTAGGTAAAAAATAATCTGTGGAACACAGGAACAGTATTCTTGAATACTACAAAAATAAGTAGACAAGATGACAAAAATAAGGTTCTGCTCTGTTTGGAGCCTAAAACCTTGAAATCACAGAAGTGAACAGCAGTGAGTGACACTGAGCCCAGGGATCCAGGAGGTGGCAGGTTGTGCCTGCCACACATCTCTGTGCTGTTCTGCAGGCATCAGGAATACTGAGAATTACTGTTCTCAGAGTGATAAATGAGTAGGATTTACTTATCTTGGGACAATTGTTACTGTTCCTCGAATCACAGAGCGATTTGAGTTGGAAGGGCCTTAAAGACCATCTCATTCCAACTCCCTGAAGGGCAGGGACACCTTCCACTAGACCAGGTTGCTCCAAGCCCTGTCCAACCTGGTATCAAATACTTCCAGGGATGGGCACTCTATTCTTACTCTATTATTCTTTTGTACACTCCAAACTAGAGGAGCAGCTGACTCATACGCTCACAAAGAAGGGAATACATTTGCAGGGGACTTAAACTCCATCAACTGCTCCAGTGCATCTGCCCTCAAACACCACGGACCAAACATGTGCTGCTCTCAGTGGTTACACAGTGGCTGTGTGGAAATGTGAAGAGTGCCTGAAGCTCCCAACTGGGTCACTACCAACAGACTTCAGCCCCAGATGAAGGGTGTTTCCCAATAAAGTTGCACCAACAGAGCAGGACTGTTCCCCTGCACTCACCAGGTACTTGCACACAAAAGCCCTGACCGCGACGGCGAGCAGAGCACATCCCACCAGCCGGAAAATGCGGAAAGAGTCAAACTCCTCCCCGGCATTCCCGTTCTCCTGGCTCGGCTTCTCGCTCATCAGCTGGTTCCTCAGCTTCAGAGCCTCGTCAAACCTGGACAGGTACTGCTCCAGCCCGTGCCTGGGCGGCCGTGGCGCAGCCTCGGGGGGCAGGTCGGGCCCGGTGCCGGTGGCGCAGCTCCCCCGTGCCCTCGGTGACCAGCTCGGGGGCTTTGCCGAACAAGTCCTTGTCCCCCCGCAGCTCTGCCAGGCTCCCCGCGTGGTCAGCAGAGCCCGGCACGCTGCACACGGAATCTCCGAGCACGATTCGCTTGGAAACCGAAGGAATGGGCAGGGAGTTGGATTTATCCTGCTCGTGCTGCAGCTTTGACTCGGGGTGACCGTCGTCATCTGAAGGAGAGAAACAGAAAGGCGCAGTCACACACAACACCCTGGCCACGCCAGATCGGGGTCCTGGGTTGATGTCTCTGCTTCCCAAGTGAAGAGTCATGACTAAATACTCCCAGACTGTCAGGATACATAAAACTCTCTAACACTGTCTTTTTAGTGTGGAAAGCAAGGCATTACATCATTTCTGGCCAGAGGTGTGTGTGTGT